TATCTCTATATATATATGTATGTATGTATACTGATATATATCTCACTATACACCATGTGTATACATTCCCACCGACTGTCCTTGGCGATGCCCCGCTCACGTTGGCAGATGTCCTGCAAGGCCTGGAGCTCGGACCCGAGCTCTTCCTGCGCCGAGAGCCGAGCCGGGCGAAGACTCTCCCTTCTTCCGCACAGCCAAGAATAGGAAAGGATTCCCCCAAGACACTACGTATATGTAAATATGTGTGTATGTATGTATGTATGTATGTATGTATGTATGTATGTATGTATGTATGTATGTATGTATGTATGTAATGTAGGTATGTATGTATATCTATATATATATATGTATATATATATAAGAAACACACACACACACTATAGATAGATAGATAGATAGATAGATGAATAGATAGATGAATAGATAGATAGGAATAGATAGATAGATAGATAGATAGCTAGATAGCTAGATAGCTAGATAGCTAGATAGATAGATAGATAGATAGAGAGTTATGAAGGCGTTGTCGGGGCGGCCCAGCCTTCTCTGCCCGGAGGGCGTCGATCCGGCGGGCCAACTCTTCCACGCTGGGCCCCTGGCCCGGAGGCGGCGGAGCCCTGGGTCCTTGAGATGCCAAAAGAGCATGATAGTAATAATGATAATAGTGCAAAGAAGCAAGGCACTTGAATGCCCTGGGGCCCTGGCCTGCCGCCCGCTGCGCCTTGGAAGAGCTCCAATGTAGCTCTCGGCTTTGTTCTGTCTCCCCTCGCCGAGCCACTGGCATCAGCTCTCTGGGCCACCTCCTCCGCGGCCTTCTCCTCGCGCTCACGCAGGAACCTCGCTTCAGGCTCAGGAAAGGGCGACAGAAAGTGCAGTGAGTCTAGTGCCCCACCCCATGCGAGAGATCGAGGCCCCGGCTGCAAGGAGAAAACCATCACCTGCCCAAGCATCGATCCCCCAAACGCCCCCAAACGCAACATCCTCTGCACAGGCAGACATGCCTTCCTGTCTTCCTCTTCCAGGGTGTCCAAGACGTCGGTCAGCTGCGACTGCGCCCTACGGACTGCCTGCAGGTGGAGCGGAAGCACCCCTTGTGCCAAGAGCGGGGAAGATCAGAAGCCCAAACTCTTTTGTACGCAAGCACCTTCTGCTCTGCAAGCACAGGAAGGTCCTAGCTATCCTAGCTACCATGCCATGTTCTGCAGGATGGCCGAGAAGAGCGACGGAGGTATCTCGAAGAGACGCCCTCCACGAGCCCCCCGAGGCTTTTGAGGCCGTTTACTTGCTCTCCAAGGTGCGTTCACACACTCGGCTCTCGCGTTTGCGCTTGCTTCGAATATTGTCACAGTGCAGCCTGTAAGTACAGCACCTTGGAAAGCCTTCCTGCATCCCCGAAAAGAATTCTTAGCAAGGAAACAGTCCGGCATGAAAACTTGGCTGTTCAGCAGTCATACTTGATGACCTGAGATCGACATCACTTCGGAGATGGTCGAAGACAGGCTGGCAGTCCGGACATTCTGAGCTGACTGCGCCCCACTTCGCGAGGTTTTCCTCGAGCTCATCTGTTGTGACCTTCCACATGAAGCCGAGCAGGCCACGCGGGCAAGAGCTCAACATGTCAGGAAACAAGAAGCTCTCTGTCTATGACAGCTAAACACCAGTTGAGGCCCGGTTCCTTCTCTGTCTAAACACTGCTGAAGGCCTCGTCTCCAGTCTTAAACTCGCTGAAGCCCACGATGGTATGTTCAGTCTTGCCGTCCTGCAGCACTGCCATGATCACCCTCTGCAATTCTGCAACTCGCTGAAGCATCTCCAGACAAGCTGTGCATCGGTCCACGCAAAGCACGAGAGATGGCAAGCACCAAATGTGCAATCGCCTCAGCGTTGAAACTTTCGTTGCAACACAGGCCCGGAATCCTCGTGTGCTGAGATCTTTGACCTTCGAAGGTCAGGCAAGCTGCTCTGCCAGATACGGGGCCTTTTCGGCGTTGATCTTGACAAAGCGGGTGCCCCAGTGCTTCTGGCAAAGCTGCCTAGCCATACTGCAGTGTTCCAACTCGTTCACCCGCTCCCTCCCCACCCCCCCCCCCTGGCAGCAAATGCAGAGTAGCACACCTCAAATGCTTGTCCATGACCTCACATCTCCAAGTACTTTCTCTCCAGAAGTGAACGACCTCACGAGGTCAGCCGCACAGAGTTTGAACAGAAACGGAAAGCATCGGCAGGGCCCTTGCTATTCGCTCGCTCTTCTTCGCAACATCGAAGAAGTCCTCGGCAAGGCGAGCCCGAGACGCTCCGTGTGCATTCATCGAGCGACGCCAGAGGCCTACTGCAACTGTCTCCTTACCACTGCTCCGACTGCCCGCGCCGGACTGCCACCACAAAAACCCACCTTCCGAACAGCAGCGCCTTCTCCTCGATCATGGTGTACTCACCGTGTCCGACGGCAAGCTTTTTCATCTTGTCCTTTACTACCGGCTACTGCACTTGCTTTCTTTAGCAGAGACGCGATTTTAGCATCCCACGCCGCATCCATAGAGCTGCGGGTTCGCCGAGTTGCTGCTTGGACACTCTTCATCTGCTCGAGACGCTTTCGGCGCAGCTCCTCAAGGTCATCTTCCTGTCCACAGAACAAGTCAAAACACTGGCCTGATGTAGGGACTCGACACCTACTGAACATCTCGGCGTCCTTCAGAGCATCCAAGCGGGCGATCTCGGCATCGATTTCGGCCTCCTGGTCCTGCAGGCATAGACTGCCCATAAAGGTTGGCCATGCCCCAGCGCTCACAGGAAAATGATACAGCACAAACAGTTCTTTTTGGGCGGCCTCGGCAGCCCTTATCAGCACATCGTTCAGCAATTGGACGTTCCTCACACGCAGGGCTGTGGTCCACCAGCATCGAGACTGATACTGCCCCTCTGCATCCCGAGTCTTCTTGAAACAGGTCTCTTCTCATAGTAGCCCATGGTGCTCTCGACCTGGACCTAAGCTGGCTTCAGTCGCAGCAGACTTGCCAGGAAACGAAGCGCTGCGGGCCCTGCCTGGTAACTTCTGTACACTTTGGGATACTTTGGGCTCAGAGCCGAAAGGTCCGGACCACCAGAACATCGCACGTCGTAATGCTTACCCAGATAAGTAAGAGCATGCTTGGCATCAGCTCATCACCAGGTTTGACAGGCCCGCACCTTGGCTCTCTCCTCCATCTGAATCGCTTTGCGTTCGTTGTCCTGCGGATTGGGGTGCTTCGGTGCATGGTGGTGTCTACCAGCTCAAGCACCACAGCAATGCAACACGGTACAACAGAATGCAGTATGATGTATTTGCTTTTTGGATGGCGCAGCCTGCAAGCACAGCAAAGTGGTCGACTGCTGACTTGAGTAAGGCGCGCGTCCTGCTGCTCAATGAGAGCGAGCAGCATGCAACATGACTGTGGCAAGTGGCGCTATGCCCCATGCCGAATGCCGTACGTTTGGGCAAGGAGGCAATTTCAAGTTAGTGTACTGTATTGGGTATCGTAGCTGCATTGCATTTGCCATTCACTGTTGCCTTCGATGCCTACTGTCTGGCAATAAGGACACCTAAGTGGCAGATAGCAATCGGAACTTCACATCAAGACCTCGCTTGTGTGGCCCGAAAGAAGCTGTACAACTGTGCTGTTCAAGTGCTCAAGCCCTGTGGCTGTAGCCGCTGTTGCCCTTGCCCTTTCCTCAGCGTCAGGAAGCAGAACACAAGCAATACTTCACCATATACTTCACCTTTGCACTTGCAGGGCCCGTTCTTTTGCTTGACGGGCACAGGCCCGGTTCCAAGTTGGGATACCACGAACACGGAAGACGATGAAAGCCGTGAACAGTGCAGCGGGCATGAAGCGTGGATGCTATCCCTGCGACTGCTTCTGAGCTTGGTGCGGCTTGTCTTCCTAGCCTTGTGGCATCCCTTTTCATCACTGTGGTGCTTATCTATCGCCGGCCAAAATGCCAAGCATAACGGAATTCCGGAGACGTCGCAGGTGCCGCCTACGCAGGGTGCCGGGAGCTACTGCTGGGCGGTCGTTGATTCCTGAGGCCTGGGCTTGCATGCGGGTTGTGACACTGCGGTGGTCGTTTCTTTGGAGGCTCTGCCAAGATCGTTCTACCTCGCTCCTTTTGGACCCGCCGAATCTCCTACGGAGCAAAGACGAGGGCCCGACCTTTCCCCTTGGAGGATCTACGCCTCAGCTCCAGCAGTTGCACTCATGTTCAGCGATGTGGACCCGTGCTGGGGGGGATACTCCTGCGTCCACGATTGTGGGGGCTGTCCACCTTGCAGGACGCAGCCTCAGCGACTCCCACACTTCGCCAGGGCCAACTCTGGAGTCGGAACCTGTTCTTGGGCTCGAGCGCTGCACGGTGGGGTCCACCCGCACACTGGGCTTCTCCTTCCGGAGGTCCACTAGCAGTCCAGCGGCTACCTGGAGAAGCTTTCAGAGCATTCCACTATCAATTCCGGCACGTTCCGGCCTTGTTCCCTTCGGGAGAGCTCGCCATGGACGACAGGGTCTCGGAGACGGCCACTTCTTCGATGCCTAGCAGCCCGATTTGGTGACTGCCGCTCCTGGCGCTAGCAACTTCCGACCTGGGCAGGTGGCCAGCGAACGGTTTGAGAGGAAGGGCCTGCAGCGGAGTTCATCAGGGGTGCTCCATGTCTTGCTTGCTTCTGTGGTTCCGGCAGAGCCCCGGAAAGGCCCAGTGCACCGCGCATCAAGCCGTCGACCTCTTGCTCAAGACGGGCAGAGGCAAAGCAGCAACGAAAGAATCGCAGGACATGAGAGGACACCTTGTCGAATTGGCACTGCTGCACAGCTGTTCGGAACCTCGGCAACTCTTTCAGGATCGGACAGGACTGGTCCAAGGTTCGGCTCTCTGAGATTCGGGCAGCATGGAGTAAGTCCTCTTGTCCGGCTGGACCTACAGTGGTACAAACGGCTCTTGTACATAAAGCTGAGCGATACATGCTCTGGGACTTCATACCCAGTTACTGTGGGGAAGCATGGGAGGTTTGGGGCATTTCGACCTTCATGGAAGCGGGCTCCTTGGCTTGCTGCTTTGAGGGTCCTCTCGACTGCTTCCGGTGTCTTTCAGATTTTGTTTTGTGTCACGGTCTTACTTTTCTGTTTCGGTGCGTGACGCGGGCTTGACAATAGATTGGGCCGTTGGAGTTATGATCACTCCCTGTGCCACTAAGACGCACGAAGAGCTCTTGCGCTGTTGCCATGGAGCGACACGAACGTTCGAATGGTGCACTCGCAAGAGAAGCTTGTGTACCTTTACCAGCCTGCACACCTCCAGGATGATTGGACGTTCGACATTCTACGTCCACTCTGTAGCATCGATAGGAGGAATGGTCTGAGGAGGCGTATTCTCGCGCTTACTCTCACGAAAATGGCAGCGAATGCTCACACCTCGAATCCATCTCGCAGTCGGCACTCATGCTACCTCCTCTGGCTGCTGCATCTCACTCATGACCGGCTGTCTCGCCGGATGGGAGGTGTGACAAGAGATGCTTGTAGCCAGGGTGTTCAGTCTGCAAGCTGCTTTGTCAAGCGGTGATATCATAGAAGTAGAAGTCCAGAGTTGGGAAGTTGAATATGAACTCACCATGTTCGCGCCTTGCGCTCCATCATCTCTTCCAGAGTCTTGATGCCCCTCTGCAGCTGCTTGCTGAAGCAGCATGCCTGGACCTGGGGAAAGAGAACTCCCCACATCGAAGAACGATGCCACAACGAGATCTGAGGCTCCCGCGAGATTGGCATAGACGTGGGAGTTTGGGCTGAGATGGTACTTGCCCGACAACTCCTTGACCTGCGCCGGCGACGCCAGTGGACGGCAACACACTCGCACCACGACTGAGAATCCCAAGTAGCGGACGAGGTCAAAAGCTTGGTCCACACGACGGGCACGGCTCATCAGCTTGACCTGAGCTGGCTTCATGAGACGAACCACATGGTGACTCCGCGATCGCGGGCATCCCTTCTTTCAGGCTGGAACCAGGACGGAAAGAGTGAAGTTGCTCGGTTTCACGCCGGCTTCCTACAAGCGCTCGGATGCAACACAAAGGCACGCCAACTCAGAGCTTCTTCCGCTCGGCCTCCATCTCCCTCAGCACCCGCAAGCCCTCGTCTACCAGACTGCTCTGGGCGCAGCCGTCCAGGAGCGAGTTGTACCTCTCCATGAAGTCCAAGGCCAAATTTCCCCATTCTGGGCTCAGATGAACTTTCAACTGATACCTATCCTTTGATATGATACCCCCTGCTTCCATGGTCACATGATCTCGTCCGGCACCAATCCAGCCTGACAAGGGCTCACCGTTGCAGACGGCTGCAAAACAAAGAAGGTCGCTTCTTCCAGAGATCTTTTCAGAAGTCTGGCAGAAACCCTTTCGAGACTTCCAGGCACCTCTTCTCTCATCTCCTTGACAAGCTTAAAGGCTGCGGAGAGGTCGCCTCGGCTTGCTGAGGCTTTCAGAAGATGACGAGATGCTCCGAATTTCAGCTGCTGGCCGACTTGGCAATGACCTTTCAGCATGGTGCTGTAAGTGATGATGTTCGGCTTGATGTTGGCCTTCGCAGAATGCAGGACAATTCTTTGCAGCTTGGGGTACCGGGCTGGATGCCTTTTTCATGTCAGCCAGAATGTCCGGCACGCCGTCCATGCCTAGGTGCACCGACACAGAACACGATGCAATGAGCAAATACGGGGTACCAGCCATGGGAAGCATCAACTCACATCATGTCTTGTATCTTGCATCGCACCGAGAACAGCGCGACAGCAGCGGGCGCAGCAGTCAAGAAGCGTGTTGTAGGTGACAATCTGCCAATGCCATCAGATCAGCTACTCCCGTACAGGCTGCTGTGCACAGCGTGAGACTGCAAGGATGTGTCCGAGGACACGGCCGATAGATCAATATTGCGCTTCTGCATTTCCTGCAACGTCAAGAGAGAAAAAGCTTCCCGTCGGAACAGCTCCGACATGCAGGCGGACTGTCGAGCCTCGTAGACGGACCAGACTTTCCCGGCGTTCTTCTCACGGGTGAAGCCCTTCAACACGGAGCAGTAGATCACGGCGTTGAGAATGCCCTTGCAATGGGGATCCTGGAACCGGACAGACATGGATGGGAGGAAATTCAGGGCTCATGGGTGAGAGCTGCCCAAAGGCTCGACATCCTCACCCAGCTCTTGGATGAGATGCCACGCTCCATCTGGGTCCCCGTTCGACACCACCGCCTCACAGAAGAATGTCTCAGAAGCACGCAACGTTTAGATTCAGATCGAGAAGCCTTCTCCGCGGCATCACACCTTTACAATCTTCACTTTACAGTATGAGTCAAACTCTGATGCTAGACAAAGAAAGTGATAGGGCGCGAAAGAGGGCAGGAGGCCGGACAAACTGGACTTGAATCACCCAGCGAACAAATTCCATGAGACATGCCGATCAGCCCCTAATATGCTGCTCACTTGACCGAAACCTTTGTGAAAGGCACACAAAATCAAAACGGACCGGAAGGGGTATTGACTCTTCGTCGCAGTTGAAAGAAACAGACGGAGGTCGGATAAAGTCACCACTACGCCATATTCACCCACCACAACCCTTCCTTGTACAAAGACTCAACCTCCTGAAGCTTTCTTTTGCATGTGCTTTGCTCGGCCTCGATCATGCAGCCGACGGTGATGCTGGTGGGCTTGATGTGGCCTGTGCATGCGAGCTAAGGTGACAATAGGCCGTCAGTTGCTGACCACAACGTGGCGGCAGTGCGCGTCCGCATCTCCTTCCAGCAGCGCCAGACCTGTGGTAGCCGCGAGCTTGGCAGAAGTTTTGGAGCTGCAGAACGGGGATGCGGCCGACTTCATGTCTCTGGCGTGCCCGTAAGCCTTCAACGACGTGCCACAACGCAGTGCACAAGAGAACCCTCAAGCTCACGGGAGATCAACATGTGTGCAGATGCAAAAGACCAGCCTTGATCAGGCTGCCGAAGGTGTGGGAGCCATTGACTTTGATGTCGCCGGACATGAGCTGCCTGCCCAGTTTGCTGGTGCCAGATAGATCACAACTTGAAAGCAAAGCACACTGACACCGAGTGCCTCAACTTGGTGTTAAGGAGGTCCGGCTTCCCGATGCGCACGCAGGCCTCCACCTTACATTCTTACATCCACCAGGGGGAGGCCCGGCCCGGGGAGCTTCTCTGAAGGCCCGGGACCACCGAGGAGAGCAGGACCTCGTCGAGCTGCTCCTCCATGTCATTGATCAGCTGCATCCTCGGTCGGGAAGAGCCCAGAGGAGGCCGAGAGCCCAAAGAGGCAAAGCCAAGGCGGCTCCGGCAGCTGACCGAGCCCGCCACGTGTGGTTGATGTCGGACTCCGGCGAGGAGCCGTTGAGGTTCTTCAGCAGAATCGAGCCTTGGGCGATACGCATTTTCGAAGACCCGTTGGGCAAAGAAGGCGTCAAACTTAAACGGAGCGCTGAGACCGCGGCAAGTGACCTGATTGGGCTTCACACCGGCAGCCTGCATCTCCTGGATGACCTTCCACACCTGACAGAGTCTCCAAGTTAGCACTTATGGCTTTTTCCGGCGTGTAAGGTTTTTCATGCCTTCATGGGATGTATGACTTGCTGGAGAGTTGAAAAGTTCAGGGCTCTGGATTCGACATTGTCTGCAATTCTGCTCTGTGTGTCTCGCTGCTTTTCTCCCCCTCGCTGCCAAGCCAGTGCCAGCTCACAGGCTTTTGCTGACAGGAAACACAGGCTCCAGTCATCAGCCGGTTCGGTCTTCCTCGTCGCGGCCTTCAGGCCAAGCTGGGCCAAGCTCGACGCAGCTCCTTCGTCTCCAGGCGTTCGAGGGCAGCGCGGCTCTCTGGGCAGGGCAAGCTGAGGGCGAAGAGGATGGGAAGCGGGAGGCTACGGTCAGAGCTCGGCGTCGTTGTAGACGGGCTGCGCTGCCGTCCATCGGCTGTCCACCTGCGGCTTGGGCGGCGCCGGAGGGCTGAGGCCTCCCCATGCCAGGTCGGGCTCGCGGCCTGGGCCTCCCAGGCCCAGTCCTCCCAGGCTGCTCCCCACCCAAGCCAGATCTCCAAGGTCGCTCGTGGGAGGGGGAGAGGAACCCTCCGGAGAGCTGAGCCCCAGGGTCCCCAAGCTCGCCAAGCCGAACTCCCCAAGCCTTGGAGTGGGGCTTGGGTTCGGACTCGAAATCTCCTCTCTCCTCTCCACCTTCTCTGCCTTCTTCCGGCTTCGCTTCACCTTCTCTGCGTGTCTGTCGATAAGCTTGGTGTAGCACGACATCATCTCGCCAAGGGCAATGACAATCTCCAGAACACTTTCATCCCCCGTCTCGTGCACCTGTGCCACACCACCAGGCCCCGCTCGCTTACTCAGCTCATCCAGTCCAGAGTGGATGATGTTTTCGGCATCCCCCACGTGCTTGGCATCGGAGTTGGTGAGGGGCCAGTCCTCCTTGGGCCAATCCGGACCCTGCATTCGAGTCAGCATCTCTCGCTGCTTCTCTTGCATTTGGAGCTGCCGTTCGCGATACAGGGACGCGGCTTCTATCGCCTTGGTTTTGAATGACCGCGTATCGCGTGCCATTCGTTTCTTGGCCCTTGCACGGAGACTTTGGACGGTGTGTCCGCAGAACGTGCTCGCCTTTGTGAGGATCTGCATCGGCGGCGGTGGTTTGCCCATCACCCTGCTGAATTCCTGCACCGACACGGGCGCGGCAAGTCGCACCAACAAGCGCACAATGCCATCCCCGCCTTCTCAAGCATCAAGACCGAGTCTCTGAGCTTGGGGAAGAAAAGCCGCACTTTCTGCATGTAGGGCTCTGTGAGGGAATGCCTCGCCAGTTCTCCATTGTTGGAGACCTCCCTGCCGATTTCGTGTGCCTGCGACAAGCAGGAGGTGCTTCTTGCAGGATCTGGGGGTGTTTGTTCTCTTATCTCAGTCTTACCGCGACGCGCCTGCCGCTGCAAAGCCTTGAACTCGATCTGGAGGGCTTCAAGCTCTTGCACCACTTTCATGGAGACCCGATCGTGTGCAGTCGCAGCCTGAAGATGCTGCCCCGAGCAGTCTCACCGAAGATGGCATGCCCCAGACTTACAAGAAATATCTGCAGACACGGTGCGACTGCAGCCGCCGGTGATCCGGGAGGCAGCGGAAGCTTACTAGCCGCCTGCCTCAGGACTGCAAACAGCGTTTTGCAGCCGTGAACACCTCTCCGCCACAGCGGAAAAGAACCGTTGCCACCAAGCGGCAAATCATCGACAAGGCCCCCTAGCCGCTTCCAGTGCACCTGGCAGCACGACGTTGGTTCCAAATGGCAGCCGTGCAAGCTGGAGGTTTGAACTCCGGCCTCAACTTCGGCGTGCAGCTCAGACAGCTCCGTGAACGCACCGTGAGCACGCTGAGATCTGAGAAGCAGAAGCCATATCCATGTCCATAGCATGGTGGCGGGACAAGAGAAGTGTCGCCGAAGATCGTGAAGAAAAGCTTCCGAGTTTTGCGCGGCAAGATGTGGCTGACGAAACTCTACAGAAACTACACTGCTTCCCCTAGCTTGTAGAAACGTGTCATCATCTGGACGCCAAAGCCTAGCACAAGCTTGCGTTTGAGCTTGGTAGCTGCAGGCACGATGCCCTGTGTCAGAAGTCTGCACACGTCCTACAGAGTACGGAGCTAGTTGGCCACAAACGCGGGGGGGCCTCAGCCCGCACCCTCCGGTCAGGGCTGGAAACGGTGGCATTGACAATTTCGTTGAAAGTGATGCAGTTCCTTAGCGCTGACCAAGTATGAAAAAACTCATACAATGACGGCGGTTTTCTAGAGATAATACCCCAAACCAAGGGCGACACGGCTGCAGCTGCGCAACCTGTGCTCACCCCAAGGCCATGCACAAGACCGGACCCCGAAACCCCCTCCCCCTCCACTGCACTGCACCAGGGTGAGCTTTGCAAGCCACGACGTCAGGCCGAGGCCGGTGCCCTCATCTCTTCAACCAGTGCTCGGGCCTTTCCCATATGCCCGGCCTGCGCAAAAGACTTGAGGAGGCGCGGAGCCATGGCAAGTGGCCCCTAGAATGCTGCCTGGAGGTGGGCTTTGATGAGGGTGTTGTAGCTGACGACGTCGGACATGCCCTGGGTGTTGACTACGATGGCTCTGTGTAGGTCGAGCCTGCTCTACACAAATGGAGCAGCCCAAGAGCCGCACGTCCTTCTTCATCTGCTCCATCCATGCCTCAGCCTTCTCCAACTTCGAGCATTCCACGCAGGCCTGAAGGAGACCAGCAAAGGGTGTGGATGCGTGCTGCGCGGGACACGATGTCACGACGAATCACTTGAAACACGCACATAATTGCACATAGCATGTCTTGAAAAGTGAGCATCGCACGGCAACCAGAACTCACTCGGCCCCCAGCATCCAGGACAGTGTTGTAAACGACGCTGTTGAGTTCAGCTCCGCTGCTCTTCAGGGACTGAAAGACGTTCATCGCCTCGGAGCAGACACGTACATCCTGTACGCATACATACCGACATGTACACGTGTATCCGTAGACATGTGTATGTATATATATATATATATGTATATATGTACATACGTATATATGTGTATATATGTGTATATGTGTGTATATATATATGTATATATATATGTATATATGTATATGTGTTCATATGTTTATATGTATATATGTATAGGTGTATATATGTATATGGGTATATGTGTATATGTGTATATGTGTATATATATATATAGATGCATAGATGTATGGATGTATGGGTGCAAAGGTGTATAGATGTACAGATGTATAGATGTGTATGTATATGTACATGTATACGTTCCTGTGTCGTTTCCGTTTATGCATATGTAGATGCATATGTAGATGCATATGTATATGCATATGCATATGTCTTCGTATATATGTACACATGTATATGTATATGTATATGTTTATGTATATGTGTATGTATATGTTAATGTATATGTTAATGTATATGTGTACGTGTATGTACATGTATATGTATATGCATTCACAACGGAAAAGTGTTTATGCATCTGCAAATGTAAACTCTCCCCATGGCCGAAACTCAACCCTCAAACCTTGCCTAGCCTGCCGAAATGCTGAGACGTGGCTCACGTTTCGGCTGTATTAAGAGGGTCTTGGGCTTAAGGATGTTTGGGGTTTCGGCAGTCGCGTAGTTGGAGGAGAACGATTCATACTCCCTTCATCACTGTTCCGCCGAGCCAGCACCAGATATTCCTGAAGCGGAAAAGCCCCGCAAACAGAATGGGTTCACAGGCAACCTTCTAAGTAAAGATAAGAAGGACGCGAGTGCTTTGCGCAGGTTGTGCCTGGTTTCACTGTGAACCGGCTGGCCAAAGACTGCAAAACTCCGAGACGCAACGAAGATGTCCAGCAGGCATCGCGGCTTTACAATTTGAGAGACATTTGGGAATTCCCCCAAGGTGTATCTGTGTCGATACCAGAGGCTTGTCAGATTCGATGGCGAGGGTGAGCCCTGCAGCGAGAAGACATTTTAATTGTCAGTTCAAAGTCTGAATCGAGGCATAGCGGTTTAAGGTTTAAGATGATTGCAGGTCGTAGTCTGGCTAGACCTGAGTCCAGTAGCAAGAAGGGTTTAGGTCTTCTGATTGAGGGTTTAGGAAGTTTAGGGTTTGAATCGAGGCATACCACCACTGCGAGCGCGTTGCCGTGTTCGCCAAGCAGGTGTCTAGTGGCTCGGCATCATGCTTTCCATGTTGCCTTCGTAATCGCTTCGGTAAGCACAGTGTGTTTTCTGAGCCATTTGCCCTGACCTGATCTGCGCATTGTCCTGGTCCATTCGTTTGAGCTGATACGTTTTCCTACCATTGTAGGAAGATTTGTGCATGGGTTGGGACGGGGCAGGGGGGCAGGGTGGCTGGGGCGGAAGAAAGGAGGAGCAGCCGAAGCCTTTAAGCGCACCCTACTTACCCTACATAAAGTCCGCCTATAAGACAATTTTTACAAACCAACCCTCGCACCACCAAGCACACAGCCAAACCCGTTGCTACGGAGGCTATCTCTCTGGGCTTTTCCAGATACAAACTGCTGCCAAGAAGTCCCTGGACCTCGCAGCGCTCCGAGGTTCGTTCCATTCGAGGTTTTGGGGTTGGTCTTCCGGTGTAGAGTTTTGAGGCATTTAGGGATATTTTGAGTGTTTCGGGTTCAATGCATTCAAGGTAGTTTCAAGAGGTTTCAAAAGGATTGGAGTGTTCTGGGGGTTCAGAGAAGCAGTTGTCCCTTTAGGGGTTCTTAGGGTTTTGAGTCTGAACCTGTCGAGGTTACGAGGTATTTTGCAAGGGTGCAGAATTTGTTTTGCTTTTGCATCAATAGAAAGCTGGCGGCACGTGGTTTTCAGAAGATGTTGGGACTGGTTGTAGGGCATCGTACGGGCTAGTAGAGCGGTTCGGGGTTGGTGGCATGTAGAAAGCCCTACATCGCTTTAGCTTTATCTTGGGCCTTTACATCTTGAGGCTCTGCAACCGTGACCCCATAAAACAATTTAACGGGACTCTGAGTGTCCTGACAAAGCCCTACATCCTCCAGACCTTCTTAGATCCGAAAGAACCCCTTTGCCTGAAGCCCAAGCCGTCTGCAATGATGCCCACACGGGTCGCAGAATCTTTAGAGGTTTCGGTTTTGAGGTGGTGGTTTATGTTTAGGATGTAGCCCTAGACCGTGGTGGTATCTATTTCGGAGCAGGGCTTCCGGGTGGTTTCGTTGACGGTGTTTTTGTTTAGTGCCAGAACCCCACAAAGCCACACGAACCCGAAACCCGGTGAGTTCGGAGCCCTTCCGCGGAGACTTTCCGGCGCTGCTAACTAGTTTAAGGTTGGGTCCACACCCTGATGCGTTATGTAGTTCAAGAATGCGGGCTTTGGTTGTTTGTTGTCGAAGCCCAGAATACTACTGCACACTTTGCAGCGGCAGGAGATGACAGTGTTTTCAGCCCTGTCCTTCCTGTAATGGTCCAGACGCATGGTGGGCACAGAGGGTTTTAGACGGAAGTCTGAATTGTAACAGTGTCCCACTATCTGATGATTAAGGCGCTTCATATTCGCTGCAACTATCTGCAACTTAAAAACAAGGCTTCGAGCTCGAGTCGTTTCAAGAGCGTGTTCCAGGGTTTAGGGACGTTTGGCTCATTCTGGGGTTTGGGCACACCCAGTCCCAAACCTCTCAACTCTACCCTGCAGGTTTGTAGCTTTAGGGTTTTAGGGTAGTGTTTCAGAAAAAGCGATCCTTGATATTAGTTCCTTCATTCCCTTCTGAAAGACAGTATGCTGCCACGTTATACCGGATTATAACGGAGCCCGCAGAAGGAAGTTGTGAATCTGTTGTTTCAGCCGGAGTTTAGATTGCCACTGCCGGAGGTCACAAACCCAACATTTAGACGCCTCGCCCAGCCTATCAGGGCCGAGACCCCGAGACCCGCATCCGAAAATCTTTATCCCGAGCCTAACCTACAAAACCCGAAACCCTAATCGGCCGACATCCTGATTCTCTGAACCTGCTGGGAGTGTCCGCACCTGAAAAAAAGGACCACAAAGCCCAAAGGTGCAATGGGCCCTAAATACCCAAGCCTCTGAACGGTTCTGCTCCGTAGAAACGCAGGTTTGCCGTAGGGAGCTTTGATACACTGTAGGGATTTGGGTTTAGGCCTTTGAGTATCCGTAGGGGGCACCTCAACCCTGAACCCACAAGACCCCAAAGCCATCCTAAACTGTAGCACCTCAATGCACTCCAGAACTGTACATCAACCGCTACCTTTCGCCAGACCCTTAAGCCCTCGCCCTCAAGCTCTAATCCCTTCAGCCTAAACTCCCAGAGCCTTATAGAGGCCGAAACCCCTACAACCCCTCAAAGCCCTGGACCCTGGAACCAAAAGCCTTAAAGGATCTCCTGAGTCCTAAGCCCATGCTAAAACCACCAACGCGCCTCTTTACACCCCAGAAAAGCACCAAAGCGTTAATGTAGGGGTTTCGGGGTTTTTATTATACTATAGTTATACAGTTATAAGAAGGAACCCGCAAAATATCATTGGTAATTCTTTAGGCCCCTATAGTACACCATCCTAGAGCTCCAAACTGAAAAACGCACCTCCTGGGCCGAGGAGCACGCAGGCGGCGATCGAGGATCTAGGTCCCGCCGGTGAGGCGCCGGATTCAGGGTTTCTGAGGTTTTTTTTTTTTTATTTGAGGGCTTTGAGGTTTAGGGACCGTATGAAGCCACTATCTACCGCTCCCAAGGTTTTTTTGCTCTCGGGTATAAGCAGGTACGAAAGCATAAATGCCCCACGCCTGTCACACAGGCCCTGGTCCTTGTGGAGTCAGTCCATGAGGACGCCCAGAGCAATGTGCAGATGACTGTCCAGGACCTTTGTTTCGGGGCTTAGAGTTTTAGGCTGAGGATTGGAGGTTTTGCGTTCCGGGTTTCTGGCTTGTTTACGGGGTATAGTTATCGGGTACACGGTCTGTTTCATGTCAGGGTGAAGGTGTCCTGGTCGCTGAACCCACTCACACTGGGAGTTGGGTTTCATGTTGAAAGTTTTGGGGTTTGGTGTGCAGCAATGTCCGGTTTGCCTCTCATGTCACCACACACACACACACACGCACCACCCGGGCAAGCAGCAGAGGTGATTCAGAAGAGAATACTGGATGCATGGTAAACTGTGAACCACCCGCCTCGTCTTGTGATGGATGCCATCGGTGAGATGTTGACGGGACTCTAATCGGCTGCTTCAGGAAGAAGTGCGGACTCTGAAAGGAAAGCTGCCTGGCTTTAGAAAACTGCTTCTGAAAGCTGTATATGTTTGAATAGGGACGGAGGGCTCGAAGGACTCCACTTGTCAATCGGGCGCGTCACAAGGAAACGTTTCCTGACCTCTTTGGAAACAGGACCTCTTTGTAAGGCGTCCGATTCAACTCCTAGGATCCATTATGGAACCGGACGGGTAGGCCCCATAGGATCCCACACCCCTTAACCGCAAGACGCAAACCTCGAACCCCAAACCCTAAACCCTAAGCCCGCCTTCGTGCATGCTTCGCTCGTGACATGTGCGGACACGGCAAAGGAGATTAAAAACATGCACCCACACCTAAAGCCCGAAACCCTGAACACTCCGAATCCCTAAGCCCTCAACTTCTCAACCCTTGGCTATACCGAGGCAGGCCGATCTTGCAGAGGCCTTCCCGGAAGATGGCCTCGGCACGAGGACAGAGGCCTTCGCCAGCGGCAACTCCTAAACCCCACAACCCTACAGCCTCAAAGCCCTGAAATCCTAACGCCCTAAACCCTAAACCCCAAACTGAAAGAGAACAGGTAGACCTCACACAGCCTAACGACCCTCGAGTCCTGGAAATCGAACAGCTTCGAGGTTGAGAGTTTACTACTCGTAGGAGATTGGAGATTTCAACGCCTGGGAGGCATCCTCATGTTTAGGGTTT